TTTGTGAAATTTGAAGCGTCGATATAATGATATAAGAGCTAGAATTTGAGCATATTGACATGTCGAAGTTAACTTCCGGTCTGACCGGAAGTAACATCAACTTTCTTATTTCAAATAGAAACCCTATTTTTTTTTCTTTTCGCTTCATTCAGCATTCAATTCCCTTTCTAATGACATATCACAAGTTGGTACCTAATCAGAAACTAGATCAGAAAAAAATTATTATTGAAATTCACCGAGTAGGCCGTGGAAGCAAAATGAAAGCCAAAAATTGAAAAGTTGGCTATGGAAACCATACGTCACTTGATAACAGTTGCTACTACTGTGATATTTTATCCTCATTCGTCGGCGTTATAAAAAGCCGCCAAAAAAAATATTGGAAAAATTGGGGAAAAAACAATACTCTGTAGGTCCATAACTTAAATAGGAACATACAACTTTTTCTTGCCTGTACTATTCAGCATAACCATTCCTTTCTAATGATATAATAGAAAGTCATTTTTTGAAATTGGAAAAATTGGATTTTTTGGTATTTCATTTCAAAAAATGACTTTCTATTATATCATTAGAAAGGAATGGTTATGCTGAATAGTACAGGCAAGAAAAAGTTGTATGTTCCTATTTAAGTTATGGACCTACAGAGTATTGTTTTTTCCCCAATTTTTCCAATATTTTTTTGGCGGCTTTTTATAACGCCGACGAATGAGGATAAAATATCACAGTAGTAGCAACTGTTATCAAGTGACGTATGGTTTCCATAGCCAACTTTTCAATTTTTGGCTTTCATTTTGCTTCCACGGCCTACTCGGTGAATTTCAATAATAATTTTTTTCTGATCTAGTTTCTGATTAGGTACCAACTTGTGATATGTCATTAGAAAGGGAATTGAATGCTGAATGAAGCGAAAAAAAAAATAGGGTTTCTATTTGAAATAAGAAAGTTGATGTTACTTCCGGTCAGACCGGAAGTTAACTTCGACATGTCAATATGCTCAAATTCTAGCTCTTATGTCATTATATCGACGCTCCAAATTTCACAAACCTACTTTATACAATAACTGAGATATTCCGTAGGCAATACTTCCGTAGCCACCCGGTATATCAACAGGTTGATGCCTGATTATCTTCTATGCCAGTGATTCAAAGATTCTAGTAAAACAAGTTTCTGAATATGTTAGTAAATTTAGAAATGAATTCTCTCCCAAACATTTTTGTCAGATTTGTTGCAATCAGAAATAGATCTTTGGAAAAATGAATGGGAAGAAACCAAAAATAAACCTATAATAATTCACCCAAAGAAACAGCCTTAGATACTTTACACTTACAGCATTGCAGTATCGAAATATTTCCCACTATTTATACACTCCTGCAGACAAAATCTGTTATGCCGGTGAGTGTGGCGAGTGCGTAAAGTTCATTTTTTATACACTCAAGTAAGACACTGAAATCATGGTGTACAATGGGTCAGGCTAGTCGGATTACCTTTATGTTAAATATTCATAGATATATTGAAATAGATATAGATGCTGTTATCGATAGGTTTTCCTCGAGGTTTTCAAAGCAATGTAAAAGACTTTGTTTTATAATCTTGTCACGGGGTACCTGATATTTTGTTAATTAGATTTAATCAGGAGGACTTACTTTATATTATCTAATGGTGAAATTGACAGATTATTCCTTTTTTTTTCTTTATCTAGTTCATATACCAAATACGCATATAAAATGTTGTTTTCATCGAGAATATTTATCTTGATTTGTTCATTTGAATGACTGATAATTGTTATTTTGGTAATTTTGAATATCCTAAGATATATAAACAGCTTTAATAGAAGTTGAAGCTAATAAACCACCATTTTGTGTTGATTTATTATACACTGAAACGCGTTGTACTACTAGGCAACCCCTAAATTATAATTCAATTTCCGCTACTGAGAACCCCCCTTAGAAAAAAAACATATCTACGCGCCTGCCTTCCTCGCAATTCCTTGACTTGAGAATTTCCTGCAGGATAACCTTTTTGCATGATTTATTGATTGAAGAGGAACTTCTCAAGCATCCAGAAGATGCTGTTTAAAGAAGCGGAAAAGTGAAATACTCGACCTCGTAAATCTCCATTCAGCCGGAAATACCGATAGTTGGGGGACAAATCAAAACATTCGCTGTATCAACAAATTCTGCCAACTGAACTCTGCTTCATAGATCACTCATTTACCAATTCCATGGTTCAATCTTCTACTATCGACGATTGACATATTGTTAGTAGGTAGGGGGTCAGGTTGGTCCAACTTGAGGCGGAGCTGAGTGGATGAGTCAAATGGGAGGAGCTGGGTGACCTCTGGTCGACCTCAAACCAATATGAAAATGAGAAAACTTGCCCAAAATTCCATTAAATTCAACTCCTCGCGCATTATATCATTCTGTGTACCTTGTAATCTTGATTTTGATGGTGATGAATCATGAAAATATCACTTATTATTCTGTGAGCATGTCTAGAAACATTATGTAGATACTATCTATAGGTTGATCAAGTTTATAGAATATTCAAGTCTCTATAGACTGTAGAGAAACAAACTCTTGACTCCTGAGACCAAAGTAAGATGATTGAACCAAACAGTACGTCGGAATTGAATCTTATGTTTCGACGTTTTCGTATATTTCAATATTGTCTATATACAGGGTGTTCCGTTGGGAAACGGAAATACTTTAACGGTGACCAAGGTTATACAGTGTTCAAGTCCAGATGTTCGTTTCTCGGCTCTTCAAGGGTATAAACAGTAATGCGGTTCTGTACAGCGGTTGATATTTTGTCGACCTTGTTTCTGTTTACCGGCTTCTCCTAGCAGATAATTCGCTATGTCGACGCAAGTGACTGCCATAACTCCTTGTCCAAACATGGGAAAAAGTCGTCATGAATATTTCAGTAGCTAATTACTGACTCGCCGACTCGTATCTCGTCTTTTGAATGCATTATGGTGTATCCAGAGTGCCGTAAATGCTTCCGGAACGTAAGTTACGCGAACAAAAGTTTAGAAGGAATAACAAACGAACGAGAGAGTATCGGAGAAGGGAAATTGGGTCATGTTATTCGAGTACCTAGATCTCTGCAGATTTATACCTTTACGACCGTAAATTGAGATATCAATGTTATCCAATAATCAATACCTATTTGAAAATTGCAGAACAACGAAAATAACTATTTGATATTTCAATATACAAAATGAGTTGTTTATAATATCTGATTGTGGGATATTCTGCGACCAATTGTCAATTTTTTATTTGAGCCACAAAGAAGAAATAACTCAGTAATTACCACAATAGTACACAAAATGAACGAAAATGGGTTAACAAAGAGAGAAAAATAACTATTTTCGTGGCTATATGCCACACAGAAAATTGAATCACATCCTCTCGATATCTATAAAGCGATTTGTGAAGACAAATACAGCTGCAATTGAATTTTCATATATACTGAGCTGTGCTTAAATTGTACAGGTACGCTTGACTACCTACAGACCGCTTTCGAGGTTTGGGCTCTCATCAGTGCAGGGGTGTCCCCAGATGGCATTTATGACCGCCATCTAGTGCGAACCTGAGCCAACGTAAACATATCTCAGCATTTGATACCCACGAGGTGTTCGGCATGAGATAAGTAATCACTGTTTTTCATAATCCAAATAACCCCTTGGATGGGAATGGGTTTTTGATCGATAAGAAGAATTATTGTTGAAATATCTAACGGAAAATAGCACTACTATCCAGGCTTATACCACAGAATATTGAATTTTCTGTCGAAAAGTCGAATTACCGGATATGAAAGGAATTTATAGGTGTGCAAAAACTATTTTTCGAATATTTATCACTATTTTATTCATTTACCAACAAATACTTTGCTGTTGATAAATATCTGTTGAATATCAATTATTTACCTCCGTGACAAGATATATGTTGATTGTTGAATAATCATCTATCAATCAAAGAACATATGTGTCAAAATTTGTTAGTTGTAATGATGTTTCGACGACCTAAAATCACAGGGGATCAGTAATTTGTGTGTTAAAAATGCTGCATTACGGGTATTATTGTGTTTCGGTGAGTCAAATATTTTTATTTTACATATTCCCATCACCATTTTTTAATGAATGTAACAGGGAATTTATTTTCTACGTCTATATGCTTACAGAAAAGACACCATGTCTGAATTCTGTAGACTATGGCCACACCTGTAATTCTCAAAGTGGTTTAATGTTCCACTAACAGATGGTGATAAACCTAGAATCTCAAGACTAAGAGATTGTAGGGAAATTTCGTGAATCGATTGTCATCTGATGCAAGACAGACTGTTTCGACTTGCCATAAGTCTCATCAGTTGCACTGGCCAGCTGACAATCGATTCACGAAGGGTACCTCTATATATCAAACAAGTCGAAGCCCTGAGGGGGCAGAAGGACGATCTAGGCTTCATAGCCATCTGGTGGTTTAAGTGCAAAAGTGTATAGGTAGATGCATCAATCATACCTTGCGACTAAGTCGCCACTATAGATGGCTATGAAGGCTAGATCGTCCTTCTGCCACCTCAGTGCTTCGACTTGTTTGATATATGGAGGTACCCTTCGTGAATCGATTGTCAGCTGGCCAGTGCAACTGATGAGACTTATTGCAAATCGAAACAGTCTGTCTTGCATCAGCTGACAATCGATTCACGAAATTTTCCTAGAATCTCTTTAGTCTTGAGATTCTAGGTTTATCAATAACTCTTCTCATTGTTCAGAAAATGACCATGTTGAATTCTTCAATTTCGACAAAGAAATCCAGAATCTTCGGCACAGAAAACCCTCATCTACCAATTTTGAAGCCGCTAAGTTGCATTCATAAATTCTGGGAACAAACTAAAGATATTTGACCCAAGACGACTAGAACAGGGTTAAATTTCAATTGAAAGATGTGAGCTCAATAAACAAACATACACCTAGTTAAATGAAAGCTTGTAAAAACTTAACTTACCGATTATGTCCTCGGATCTCGAGTCTGACCGGAAGATGCCGATCACTTCCCGAACTTCGACGAGCTCTTTTATGTTGCGATTCTAGTGCACTTGGATGGTAATGCGCAGGTTCATAATGCTGAATCCAAGAATTCAAATTGAAATCTGAAACAACAACAACAGATTGGAACTCACTCGTATTATAGTTCATCAATTTCCCTCAATTTAACAAGGGATATAGGAAGCAATCAATAATTGGGCCATTGATAGTTGCTAATCGGCAACCACACAGAGAAATGTCCATCAATTTTCATGATTCGAGGTGGTTTTCATCGAAAACGATTTATAACGTCAAGCTCTCGACTAATACAAGAAAAATCGAACATAACCTGACATTTATCAGCGCCTAATGACTTGTCTGTTGGATGGATTCTGCTTCCTTATCGGCTTCCCGTTTTTTTTCTTCTTCAATTTCACAAGTCATTTGTCTGTGCTTCGCAACCACTGAATAAAGAGATGAAAGAAGGGGCGCTTTTTCAAAGTTTCTGTACGGTAAAAATCAAGTACGAAAAATGATAAAGAAATACTCATTGGTGATTCTACATTTATTCATACTTCGGATTATGATCTAGAATCTAGTTGCAAAAAGAGATCAAAAAATGAACGGAAATGGTAGATAACGAGCGAAAAACAACTACTTTCCTCGCTATATTGCTCTAAAATTGTTGTAAAATTACGAGCAACCCTCAGAAGTCTCAGAGAGTCTCGTGCGAGCAAGGAATGACAAGGGTCTTACCTTTCCATCTGATTTCCTGTCAAGTAATGCTCATCTATTAGACAGAGCGTTTATTGCTTCACATTTGACATTCCATGAGCGATGAGATTTTTTTGAAATGATAACACACACATTGTGATATCAGATACGGAAATAATATTGATGACATATAAATAAGTTCCTCATTGACGTAACGAACACAATTTTTTGACGATTGTGCTTCATTTTTCGGTTATGTTTGAGTTAGAATTGATCTCATTGTATATTCAGTTTTGAACACAGGTTTCACTTGAAATTCATCACCATCATGCTCGATATTTTCAGATATGACGAGAATGTATGGTAGGTATTATATTTGTCGTTATTGATGGTTGATTGTGTTCTGGTGGACCCAGTTTGTTTTCAATTTGATGAATCGTTATATCGATAAAATTCTTTGGATAGGAGTTGGGATAAAGACGTTGTATAGAAACAAAGAGATAGAATCTCAAAAATACTGGAATAATTAATCAACCATCTCCTTAATTCACCTACAGACAGTCTCCATATCCTTTCATTCGGTAATCATTCAACATATCGCACAACTTCCGACACATGACTACAATACACGACAAAAACATCATTTCAAAGTGCCACAAATGTCAAAAACACTTTGCCAACGATCATTTTCATATATCGATCCAAAAATTCATAATTCCCTACCTGAGAATATGAAAAATATAATATCTACTTTTTATTTGAGCACGAACTGAAAACATTCATCAGATAGGACAGACAGTTTTTGAGATATCGGCGCTCAAAGTCAACTTTTCGCTTTTATTGCCAATAGGAGCACTCCGGTAGGCCACTACGTCTCCATTTTCCAGAATTTCCCGATTTCCACCACAGATTCGTTCATTTGGACATCGATTTAGTCTATGTGAATTTTTTCAGAATTTTAATAGGCCAAATAAAAATTTTCATTTTCCCATCTAAGACTTCCATACGATATAGTCACCGAGCCATCTTCGGACGGCCGAAAGTGCCAGAAAACGGCAGAAATCCTCGCGAATTTTGCTTTCTCAGTAGAAAATGGCACGCTGAATCGAATGAGACAATAATCAGCCCGATAGGATAGACAGTTCTTGAGATATCGGCGCTCAAAGTCAACTTTTCGCTTTTATTGCCAATAGGAACACTCCGGTAGGCTACTACGTCTCCATTCTGCAAAATTTCTTGATTTCAACCACAGATTCGTTCATGACGACATCGAATTAGTCTATGTGAATTTTTTCAGATTTTTAATAGGCCAAATAAAAATTTTTATTTTCCCACCTTTCCCCCAAGACTTCAGTACGATATAGTCACCGAGCCATCTTCGGACGGCAGAAACTGCCAGAAAACGGCGAAAATCGACGAAAATTATCGCTTTTTCAATAAAAAATGACTCGCTGAATCGAATGAGACGTTAATCAAATCCATACAGTTTTTGAGATATCGGCGCTCAAAGTCAACTTTTCGCTTTTATTGCCAATAGGAGCACTCCGGTAGGCTACTACCTACGTCTCCATTTTGCAAAATTCCCTGATCTTCACCACAGATTCGTTCATTACGACATCGAATTGGTCTATCTGATTTTTTTCAGATTTTTAATAGGCCAAATGAAAATTTTCATTTTCCCATCTAAGACTTCCATACGATATAGTCACCGAGCCATCTTCGGACGGCCGAAAGTGCCAGAAAACGACAGAAACCCTCGCGAATTTTCGCAATTTCTAGTAGAAAATGACACGCTGAATCTAATGAGACCATGATCAGCCCGATAGGACAGACAGTTTTTGAGATATCGGCGCTCAAAGTCAACTTTTCGCTCCAAAAATTCATAATTGCCTACCTGAGAATATGAAAAATATTATATCTACTGTTCATTTTAAGCACGAACTGAAAACATTCATCATTAGTAACCCTAGAAACATTGTTAAACTTCAAATTTACTGAAAGTATTTCCGCAATCGTCAAGGTATTATCTTTTTTAGATGTATATTACATTGTTCATGATCATTACCTATATATTATTCTAGTAAATACCAAACTATAGAATTATAAGTCCTAATTATATATATCCGAGTATATTATATTATCAATTCTATTTTATCACTTTTATTATTTATTGTATTGTTTAATCCTCAAAACAAGTGTCAACTCACTTATTGAGTGCTCACATTTATTCATCAACAATCGATTCATATTCATCAGCATTTAATTCATTTCTATGTATTTCTATGTTCGTTTTTCTATGTATCTCTATGTGTACTCATTATTCATGAATAAATGTATTATTATAATATATCATAATCATACAACTTTTTTCTGTATGAAAACACAACAACTACTCTTCCGAGGAGAGTGTACCAAAACTTGGCAGGGCGTGAAAATCTAACCAGTCGTTATTGAATTGAATTATATCACAACAGTGCATGTTTTTTCATGGAAACCGTCTAGTACGAAAAAACGCACAATATTACATGTCTTCACTTGAATATCCCGGATATCCAACAAGTCAGATATCAAAAGTCAGAGTGAAGTAAAGTTTACTCTCTTCCGAAAAAGTTCAGGAGACGTTTTAAATATCCGAGTTTTTCCCAGTTCACTATACTGAATTTTCTCTGACGACTGATTGAATCGTTCGACTTTGGAGAGATTTTCTTCCTACTGTTTACTTGATGTTGTAATGTCTTCGGAAAGTTATCGAACAGAGTTGGAAACTTTGGAAACTCCCATAAAGGGGCAGATTGTATTGATTCTAGAGTTTCATAAGGCCTGTCGTAGAAATGTACTTGAGACAAAATCAGGGTATGTTATCATTTCACATCTGTCACTCAAGAGGCAAATGCACAATATTTTTAATTTTTGAAAAAGAATCATCGTTCAACTACTTTTCATATACAGTGTGACCCACTTCTAATAGAAACACCTCTGTATCTTACGTAATCGTTGGGTAAGGATCCTGAAATTTGCTGGAGCGAGAGATATACCAAAAATGCAATCTATGACAAAGTGGGGTCATCTTCAGTGATATACACTGCTCGCCAACAGCCATGGAACCACCCCAATTTCCGGAAAATGATATTAGGGGTCGAAATAGGTTGAAAATCACTTCGGATTCGGAATCAGGACGCCCAATTCACTAACTTTTCATAGTTTTCCAAGAAAATTACCAGTTCTGAAAATTAAATTTTGTCGCACTTTTTACTGAAGCACCCCCGTATCTTACGTAATTGACTTCATCTTCGGAATTTACCTTCCTCCTGCAAATTTCAGAACTCTACATTCAATAATTATGTGAGATACGGGGGTAATTCCATTAGAAGTGGGTCACGCTGTACTACTTTTTTAAATTTTCTCGGTTGATTTTCAGGTCTTGAAATCATAAATAATGCTACGGTAATTTTCAAACGGCAGAAATTTACCGCGACAAGCAACTGACATTACATTGACATTGGTACTGAAATAGTCGAAATATCAATTTACAGTTATTGTTCATAATTCCGAAACTATCAACTTTTGTGATATAAAACAATCTAACAAACTTCTTCAATATGCAACGTAGAGTCTGAGAATGCAATGATATTCCAGGTGTCTCATTGAAAAAACAAGAATTTATTTGTCGCTGCCCGTTTTTGAGACACTCGGTATAAATGAAAATTAGAATTCCTGGAATAAGATAATCGCGTTTCAAGTTAATAGGGTGTATACCGTTTTCTCTTCACGAAACATCAAATTCAGAGAAAAATGTATATTAAGAACGATCAAGAAATATGATTTCAAAAAAAAAAAATATTGAGGGATATACTAACGACAAACTCTAATTTGAAAAAGAAATTATACCGATACCGCTTTATATTCAACAAGTTCTTCATCTATATCATATTAACAAGAATCGAACAATGAATATCGATGATGATGCTGGTCTGTTTTTTTTTTCAGTCAGCCTCATTAGATGAAGCAGAAAATATTCCTCTAGCCATGTGAATATTAGTCCGAAATCTTAGAAATATTCAGAGATACACCGGACTGTCTCGAACCACAAACCACAATAAGAAATGAGTTATTGAAACAGCGGGCGGTTGGAATAGATATTAGTCTGGGTGCATACACCGAATTTTTAAAGGGATTTTCACAAGAGTCGTTACTTATTTATTGGGCCTCACTGTACATACAGATGAAGCTAATGAAATAAATATCAATTTAGGTCCCTAACGATACAGTGGAGTGATTGAATGCTAATAATTCATTACCTATCATTCCAGTTGCCCATCAAATGTGTATAAAACCAGAAGTGAGGAAAAGTTAAACTCTCCAATTTTGTATTACCCTTCTCGAAATTCGTTGAATAGTCAAGAAGTGCTTC